AGGGTTGAAGAGCACGGCTCCCTCAGAATGGGCAGTGAGGACGGGCACTCCTCAGGAGGCGTGGAGCCTCCCGTGGCAGGGCCACGAGGCTGGGACTGCGGGGGGAGCAGAAGCCTGCACGCAGAGGTGGGATCTGCAAGTCTGCAGAGCTGGGCTGATGGGAGGAACACACTCAGTAGCATCTGGAAGCACTTTGCCCCAGTGTCTGTGAGCGCTTGGCCTGACTGGAGTCATAGGAAACTTGGGCCAACAGACAGAACACACCTTCTGAGCAAGTGCTCAGAAGCACTCAGGAGCCAAGGCGTTCTGGACCACAGCGCCTGCAAACCCGAAATCAGGCAACGTTTGTTCTCTAAACAACAGTGCGATGAAGCTAGAAATCTGGGAAATCTCCAAATATTTACAGACCAAATAACACTTCTCAGTGGGTCAGAAAGAAGTCAGATGGAAAGCAGGAAGAATGTTCCCTTCAGACAAAAGGGAGACGGGAGATGGCTACTGGCAGGGAGAAGGAATATGCCCATTAGAAGCCTGCTTCCACCTCAGAGGCCAGGAACACCTGTGTTGTTCCGGGGTGACAAGGGCTGTGGGATCACGGGGTCTGGGTGGGAGAGGAGATGGGGCGGAGGGGACAGAAAGAGAGGGGAGGTGGGGAGGGGGGAGGGACGGAGAGAAGGGGAGGACGGGGAGATGGTGGAGGTGAAGGGGAGATGGGAGAGGGTGGGGAGATGGGAGGGAGGGGCGGGGGAGGGCAGATGGGGAGCAAAGTAAAGGCGAGATGGGGAGGGAGGAGGGATGGGGAGGAAAGGGAAGGAGGGGTGGGAGAGGAGAGGCGTGGGAGAAGGGGGGTGCGGGCGTGTCGATGTCAGTCTGGTGGACCATGGCTTTGGCTCCCCTTGTGCTGTCCTTCTCCAACTGTCCGTCTTCCCACTTGTCTGAGTGACTGTTCTTGCAGCCTGGGCCCTGTCACTCATCTCGGCCTTCCTCTCTCCTCACCCGCCAGAGAGTAAGTCCATGGAGCTGTTCAGGCTGCAGCGGGGCCCTGGGCACGATGTGGTAGCCAGTGACCTCTCTCATTCTTTTGGACCTGATGCTGCAGATGGGTTCCTGCCACACAGGTTGCAGGTGTGGCCATGCTTGGGGGAGCAGAGAGAAGGCCAGCTTTCCTTTCCTCTCCTCTCCGAGGGTGCCCCATCGCATGGCACGGCGGGGGCAGGCGACTCTGCATACAGAAATTCTAGGCACGCCTAAGCCTGCTGTCCACGGTGGAGGCCAGAGAACAGGAGGTCGCAGTAAGGGGAAAGGGGGCGTTCGGGATGGTGCCCGAAGACCCCCACATGGCGGGCATCAAACCCAGGAGCAGGCTGGCTTGCACAGCGAAATGACCCAGCTATGAAGCAGGCAGAAGCCCCCTCAGCACCCAGACTGGAAGTGGAAAGGGAACCTGGGACACCGTTGGCAGGAGGGAACCTTGTCAGCCACTATGGACACCAGTACAAGGCCTCCCCACACCTCGCACAGGGAAGGAAGGAAGTGCCCCTTGGCCCAGCACTTCCCACAGGAAACAAAACCGCAGCTCCAAGGTCTCAGCCTCCTGTTCAGTGCAGCACCCTATACAGAGAGACTTGGAGCAGCCTCAGTGTCCGCGCACGGAACCGAGAAAGCAGCGGAGGCACCTTCCGGCTCGGGAATGGGATCCAGCGGGTAATCCGGCCATTTGCCATCTGGGACTCGCCGGGACCCTGAGGGCGTTGTGCTGAGCGAAGAAGCGGACAGGTGAGACGACAAGACAGTCCAGACCACTTTACCTACACGTGGCTACAGCAATGGCCACAGAAGCCCAGCTCAGAAAGGAAGTCAGACTGTGGCGGCCAGAGGTGTGGCGCGGGTGGCTAGAGCGACACAAATGAAGCCCCAGTCACAGGGTTAAGCCTGGGGCGCACCCACCTGGCTGACTGCGAGTCACGGCGCTGTGTTGTTTCTTGAGAGTTGCTAAGACAGTGGCTCTTAGAATTCTCCTTGTAAGAAATGGATTTTGCCTCAAGCTTTGGGACCATGCTGAGGTGGTCACTTCCCGGAGGACTAATACCCAGGGGCTGTCCTTACGCTCCCCTCCCACCAAAGGGCGTGCTCTTCCGAGTCTCAGAGAGGCGGCTCTGCAGGTGGAAGCTTCCAGTTTCCCTGGACTGGGGCCTCAGGCCACGCGTTGCCTCCTGAGGACAGGAGGGTGGCCAGGATGGTGGGAATAGGGCAGCACGGGCGACAGGGCTGGGAACACTCAGCTCAGGCCCCCCAGCCGCCTCCTCCAGAGAAGCCTCAGACTAGCCCCCAAGCCCATTCTCCATTGTATTTCGCCTTCCGTTTGGGGCAGCGGATGCAGTCCCAGCCTGGGCGCTACGGTGCCGCCCAGTGCCTCCCACACTGGCACGGCCTGAGCGGTGTGGGTGCAGGCAGGTGGGCCTGGGCTGGGGCCTCTGAGCATGTGGGACCGAGTGAGGAATGTGCTCATTGTCCTGGGCGGGCGGCCCCTCCGTCATTGCTCGGTAACTCGATTTGTTCGCCATAAAGAATTATGAATGTGATGGACTTCGAAGATGAGGCTGCAAATCAGGTTAGCGGGGGGCGCCTGCCCAGGGTGAATCACCAGGGAGAAGTTAAGAGGGAGCGAGCGCAAGCAGGAAGGCCATCCTCAGAGGCGAGGCACGCGAGCCCACGCCCCAGCCTGAGGAACTGCTGGGCACCGCCCCCACCCCCACAGCCCCGAGGTAGAAAGTCCGAAAGTGCCACGCAGCCAGAGCGGGCTCAGCTGGGCAGAGCAGGCGCTGACAGGGACGGGGAGACAGGGCCCATGCCGGCTTCCTCCTGGGCCAGCACAGGGACGGGGAGACAGGGTCCATGCCGGCTTCCTCCTGGGCCAGCACAGGTGCTGGGCAGAGCTGGCACCGACACGGCCTGAGCTGCTGCTTGCCCTTCTGGGTTGGCTGCTCCTGGTCAGATGCCCTGACTGTATCCACAGCCCACCTACTCCCCCCAGGCAGAGCTGTAGAGTGAAGTCGAGAGCTAAGACGAGAGGACGCCTTCTGGTGGGGACACAGCTCAGGGGACACTTCGGAACCTGCTCTTGATTATGGGGCTTGCGGAAAGTGAGGGGGCGCCCCCTCTGATCCAGCCACCCCAGGTGGGGGCCGAGATGGCCGGGGTGCTCCTGGCGTCCCCCACACCACTGGTCAGGCAGGAGAGCGCCTGCCTGCCCACACCATCCCTCACGGCCTCTCCACCACAGCTACACTCCCGTCCTTGTCGCCCACGTGGGGTACACGGCCCAGGAGCTCTGGCTTGCTGGGCTGTGCAGACAGCCTGGTCCTCCGGCCCTCGCCAGGCTGCCCACTCCCAGCTGAGGGTGGCCTGCCTGGGGGCCCTGCTGGCTCCTTGGGACCCCTCACCCGTCTCAGGCCCGGGGCAGCTTGAGGCTCTGCCAGCTATGAACAGAGCTGAAGCTGGACAGGCAGCACTGGGGCTACCCAGAGCCTGTCGCAATTTGGAGAACTCTTGGCAAAAGCAGTGTTCGCATTTTATAAAATCCGAAAAGCAAAATACTGTTCCCAATGAGGCCAACAAGACGAGGTGTTTCGTTTTCTGTTGGGGACTAGCAGCTGCCTCCCACCACCAACGAATCTTGATTACGGGCCTTTTGGAAAGGGAGGGGGTGCCCCACCCCCTCTGATCCAGCCACCCCAAGTGGGGGCCGAGATGGCCAGGCTGCTTTGAGGGCAAAGTCCAGGCGGGCTGGGGTGCTCACTCGCATCTGACTAAGACGCCGGCAGCCTGTGTGCAGGCGTGTGTGTGGCCAGAGGCTTGCCCACCCGGGCGTTTCTCGGAGCAGAAATATTTGGCGGAAGCTAAAGCTACTTCTCACACGGCCTGGGAACACCTCTGAGCTGCGCCCGTGGCCCCGGCCCCATGAGGGCTGCTCTCTGAGTGTGGAGGAGGGGCCCCGGTTGCTAGCCAGGCCCCTGGGGTCCCCTTGCACGCCGAGCAGGTTTGCAGCACCGTGGAGCGCGGAATGAACTGCTCAGACCAACTTCCAGCAAGAGCTCCGCTTTATTGGGTCTAGTTTCTAACAGAGAAAAGCCGACACGAATACCCACGTCTCCTCCCCTAGGACACTCTAAGGAATACTGCATGCAACTCTAAGATGCAAAACACAGGGACGGTTCTGGGTGCAGGCAGAGCCACGGCACGTTGCGCACCTGCACCATGCCAGGCCTCCGTCGGCCCAGGCACGGGCGAAGGTCCCGAGACGGCCTCCAGACTCGCTCTCCGGGAGTCAGAAAACAGAACCGCGCAGAAGGACCTCTGGGAGAGGATTCTTTGTGTGGGCGAGCCGCACGCCCAAGAGCGCCAGCGCTGCCTCCGCTCCCCTGCTGCAGTGCAGCCCCGACCCGGCAGGGGGCGCCAGCTCCCAAGGCACCACCCTCTCCTGGAACCGTGCTTTTTGGTTATGTGAAACAACAGGTCACTGCTAGGAATAACGTGTGCTAAGCCGCTCACTGTACACAATGCAACAGTCGAATCGCTAGCCTACTGCTGAGGGAGCCGTCGCCACAGCCCACAGCGCCTTGTGGTGGGGGTTTCTCGGCTGCGGCGGTGCTACGGCTTCGGGGAGACGGGCTGGGTGCAGCTGAACGTAGGCAGACCCTCCGGGGAGCCATGTAGGGTGGCTCTGCCCCAGCCGCCAGCACGCCGCGGGCGCGGTGCCTCCGTCTCGCCGAAGCTGCGCGACCGAACAGCCAGGCCGAGGGTCTCGATGCGTCTTCCAGTCGGAGAGCAGCTACTGAGAGGGCTGCTCCGTATTTACACATAAATACAGGCCTATGTACACGCATGCAAGCACGGGCTGCGCGGCGCCAGGCACGCTGCTCGCCCTCGTGGGGCTGCAGCCCAGCGCGCAGCCGCAGCTGCCTGGACAGCGGGGGGACAGGGAGGAGGGCTGAACGACAGAGGCCCGTCTCTGAACGCACCGGATAAGGCAAGAGAAGTCAAGCGCGGGGAGCAGCGGCCCCCGAAGCCGGCCCGGCCCCGCAGAGAGCCACACCATGGCATCTGTTGTTCCTGCAAATACTCTCGTGGTGGCAGACTGGAAGTCAAGTTCAGGGCGCCCGGAAGCTGTGGTCAGTGGGGAAGGCACTTCGGGTCCAAGGCCAGTGCCGGGGGGGCGTAGCTGGGCCAGGCGGCCGCATTGTCATCCGCGCCAGGAGGCGGCCCGGTCCTCTCACGGGAGGTGGGGACTGTCCCCTCGGGCAAGGCGGGCGCGGGTGTCCAGTCTCTTTAGCCGGAAGTCTGCGCAGTGCCCACTGCCGCCATGCACGTGGGCCCTTGTGCCTACGACGAGAGGACAGTGGCACTGGACAGGTCGTTGCGGATGACCTCGTTCACTGTGGGAGAGGAGAGGACAGTGGTCAGGACAATCGTGGGCGCGGGGGGCCCTGCTGGTGGCCCGGCTCTGGCAGTGCCTGCGCCGCCTCTCTGCCCGTGAGTCTTGGCAGCAGGAGAGGAAATAGCTGCCGCGAGTCAGCTGCACACGCCCTCCTCCACCCACCGTCCTGATGGGCACCCAGATAGGGCAAATGTCACCGGGCTCCCGGGCCTGGTCGGAGGAGGGGCAGGCACAGGCGTCATGGAACCGCGGGTTTCCCTGTGTGCCCAGATAAACGCCCGAGCTGCTTCCTGAACTCCCTTCAGCACCCGCCCCCCAACGATTTGGAAGAATAACAGGTCCCTGCACGTGGCTGGGAGCAGAACTGTGTCACGGAAACAGTGGCTGACAAGAGGCTCGGCCAGCCCCCCTGGCGCTGCCCACAGGTGCCCGGCACACAGCCATGCCCTGTGTGCTGCCTCAGGGGTGTATCTGGGCCCCAGAAACCGCTGCCCTCCTGGGGTAGAGGCCGGAACCGCATGGGGACAGGGATAGAGGCTGCCCTCAGGCACCCACGTGGGTGGGGAACCGGGCCGCCAGGGCCACCAGCCTCTTGGCAGTGATGGGCAGAACCCCGTGGGGACCTGGGTGTGCTGGCGCTGCCAAGTCATCCCGACAGCTTGCTTGGGTCCCTCCACAGCACAGCTAAGGGACGCTCCTGTGACCACAGTGGTCCAGCGCGGCCGCGACCATCTCTGCTCTCATCCAAGCCCTCACAGGCTGCCCAGGCTGCCTTCCCACAGCACAGGCCTGGGCCCCTGGCAAGGCGACTTCTGGTCTTCGCAGGCCAAGGGTGGGGAGCAAGACCCCACAGCCACCCTGCCGGGGGCCATAGATGAGGGAGTCTCCTTCCCGACCCTCATGCAGGTGCATAGGCACAGGGGAGCAGGAGGAGAGGGGCTGGGAGGGAATGAGCGAGAGGAGAGGGGCTGGGAGGGGAGAAGAGAGAAGACAGCAAGGTAGGCTGAGGCACGGGGAGGGCGGTGCTAGCAGGGACGGGGGGGGCCACTGGGGGACGTGGCGGTCTCAGGGAGGGGTGCAGGATGGAGGAGACTGAGAGTGGAAACCGTGGGGTGTCGCTGCCCTCGCTGGGCTGTCCCCTGAGGTCAGAAGGGAAGAAGGGGGGCCGTCCTTGTGCCCCGGTCCCGAGGGGCCCTGGCCTCCCCCCACAGAGCAGCCCCGAGCACCAGGCCCCACAGCGCTGCCCACTGTCCACACGGCTCATGAGGCTGTAGGCCGCCGCCCCAGGGGCCTGGAGCAGGGCTGCTGGGTGGCGCCTGGGGGTGGGTCGCGGCGCCCGGGGGCGGGCTGGTACCAGGGGCCGCCCCCTCCGCTGCCTGGAGGTCACGCCAGGTCTGAGGCTGGGGCCCTTGGCTCCCGGCCACCCACGGCTTCCCGCCGCCTCTTCTTGAGACCACTTTCCATCGTCTCAGCTTTTCCACCAGCCCGAGGGTTTCTGCACTGAGAGTTTGAACTGCAGGTGACATGTGACCCTCCACTCACAGGGACCCGAAAGAGGAACTCGCTCACTCCACGTCAGCTGTCCTGCGACCGGATGTGGTGGCTGGAACCACGGAGCCGCGGCGGGGCTTTCCCCGCCTCAGGTGGAAACTCTTGTTCTCTCCGGGAAGAAACATCAGTGGCAGCGTGAATCCTGGCCTCCGGGTGGTCCCAGACGCCCCTGCCCTGGGGGAGTGACAGGCCGAGCGACCTCTCAGCGGGCACAGGGGCCTTTCCGGGGACAGCTCTGCACTCTCGCAGCACCAGCCCACAGGTTCCAACCCGCTCAGAGAGGGGGCTGAGACTCGGGGAGGCTCAGGGCCAGGGGTTCCTGCCTGGGGCAGGTGGGGCGGGGGCCCGCAGGCGGGCAGCCTCTGCTGCACCTCTGGCTTCGCTGGACACCCGCCGTCTCCCACAGCTCTGATCCACAGGAGCGGCCAGTGGACCAGGACCAGGCCGAGGTTTTGTCCAAAGGGGCCTTCTCAGCACCGGACAGTGTCCCACTCCGGCCTGGATGCGGTGCTTTAGGGACCCTGGGCGCAGAGCGTGGGGCACCGACATGGAGGAGCCCTGAAGCTCTCCGGAGGGCCCCGACAACTGTCCCTGTCCCGTCCCTGCAGGTCCAGGCAGACAGGCACCGAGCCGTCTCACATGCACACTGACGCTAGCTGGGCTTGTCACCGGCCTGGCTTCTCCGGGCAGCCACCGGTGTCCGTCCCACGCACACACTCACGGCACCGTCACAGACGAGAGTGAGCCTGACTTCCGCAGTGCCAGCTTGCGCGACCTCATGTCATCTTTTTACTTTTTGGTATCTTTAAAAATCCTCTCTGGAGGGGGCTCCCTAGGGGTAGAGGCAGGACCTGAGAGCCCTGGGCGAGGCTCTGCTCGCCGGCTGATGGCCAGGCCCACAGATGTGGCACCAGAACCCCAGGTCCATCCTGGCGGTGCTTGGGGTGGATCCAGGGTGGCGCCAGGAGCCCCCGGGGGAACACAGGAGCCCTCGAAACACCAGCACAGAGGCTGAAAGGCTAGTGGCCTGGGGCATGCTCAGGACGGCACCCCCAGAAGCCCTGCCACCAGCCCCCGGCAGACACTGGCTGCCCTCCTGCCCCCAAAGCCCAGCACAGGTGTGGTGAGAAGCCCCCGTGTGCCATCTGAGCCCGAGGCTGAGGTCAGCCACAGTCCGCTGTCCGCTCTCTAGCTGCCCGGTGAGAAGCACCTCAGCTTCACTGTGGAAAGATAACGTGGAGAGGTGCCTGGACTGGTCAGGGGCGGTGGACGCGGAGGGGGTCCAGCTCCCAGGTGTCCTGACATGTTGAAGCGCCAGAGCAGAGGATGGTTGCGGGGGGCGTCCATCTTGGCAGCACCCAGCCCTCAACTCCCCGCAGCAAAGCCAGAGGGTCCCGTCTGCGCCCTGGGCTCTCTGGGACCTGGAGGGGCTTTTCGCCCACAGCTCAGGGTCTGCCCCGAGCAGAGCTGCTGCTGAGTGCTGCGGACCCCTGCCAGGGCACTGCTCCCCAGCCCCCACTCTGTGGGCCTGCAGGCTCCAGCCTCAGGAGGGCCACGGTTCTCACGCTCTGGACAGCAGGGAAGGACGAGTGGGGAAAGGCAGGGTCCGAGTCCAGCTCTGAGGTGCTGGGCCGCCTCCAGGGCCCCTGGCGCCCACAGCAGGCTGAGTTCTGGCAGCTTTGCATTAAGGAGGACGAGCTTCGTAGAAGCCATGTGTCCGTTTCTTCAAAGTTGCATACTAGCTTGGTCATGTACATCACACTTTAAGGTTTTTTTTTTTTTTAAAAGATACTTTAAGAACCTGGTTCTGCATTCAGTCCCAAACACTGACCTCCCAGACACTGCCGGCCCCTGTGTCCTGCACTGTGCCATGACCAGGCCTCCACAACAGGTGGCCATGCTGCGTTTCATCAAGAAAACAGTTCTCCAGGGAGTAGGCAGTGCAGCGGGGAGGGCGCTTGCCATGCAGATGGCCAAGCTAGGCTCAATCCCTGACACCCCATAAGGCCCCCCGACCCTCGCCAGGAGTGATCCCTGAGTGCAGAGCCGGGAATAACCCCTGAGCACTGTTGGATGTGCCCCCCCAAAGAGCAGCCCCATGTCCCTATCTTGCCATGGGGCGCCCTGCCACAAGAGCACGGAGACAACTGTGGGGTGCAGGGCACGTTATTTCTCGGGACTGGCAGACCAAGACGCCCTTAGGAAGCAGAAGCAGGACGGAGGCCACACTCTCAGACACGCCAGAGAGCAGCCCCACGGCAGGCCCACAACTGGCAAGCAGACCCTCCGGCCCCTGGGGCAGCAGAATGGCCCCAGCAGAGCTGTTCTGGGGGGCTCCTTCCGGGAGAAATGGAGCTGGGCAGAGACAGCCCCCAAGGGCTTTCCCCACTTGGAGGGGGGCTTCTACCTGACACTCTGGACACTGCGGGGAGCTTAGTGTGTGGGGCGGGGGGCAGGGGAGGAGACGGATGCAGGGGTCGCATCCAGGCATGGGTGGGGCCACATCTGTGGATGCACAGGGCCACGTCTGTGCGTGGGGTTGCGTCTGTGCATGCGTGGGACCACGTCCATGTGTGTTTGGTGCTGCATCCGTGTGGGGGGGGCTGTGTCTGTGCGTGAGGCCACATCTGTGTGTGTGGGGCCCGTCAGCGTGTGCGTGGGGCCACATATGAGTGTGAAGGCCTGGGTGTGGGCCGAGGGAGGCGTTGCCTCACGTGGCCTCAGCCCGAGGGAGGCCACCCACAGAGCTTGGCGCCAACAGGGCTCCTCCCAGAGCCGCTCCTGGTGTGGGAGCCGGGAACCCCGGCCGTGTGGGGTGCTGCAGGGCTGAAGCGTCGCAACACGACCGAGCCCTTTGCGAAGGTGCTTCAAAGAGGCTTTGTGAAGTAGTGGAAAATGATAGTTTCTCAAGTTCCATTAAAAGGTACGTTCTCCTATTACCTGAGTGTCCTGGACCCAGCTCAGCCTCCACTTATTTTTATCTTCTTAATCATAATAAGCACCGCCACGGGGCTGCTATTTTTGGAAGCAGAGAACGGGACAGCAGAGGGGCTGAGTGACAACAAGTCACAGCTCTAATCAAACATGACCCTCCCTGCCCAGGAGGGCTTGGCACCGAGAGCCACTTTACACGGGACCGTCAGCCGAGCACACAATCATTTTCCGACCTTGCGTGCCTGCTTCCTGATTTAGCCTCAATTCTCCAGACAGTGCAGATGCGCTGTGGAAATTCCAGCACATGGGAACCCACGTGATGGGCCCCGGCCTCCGACTCCGGTGTGCCACTGGCCGCAGCTCTGAGCCGTGGTGGACTCTCACGCCCAAGTGCCGTGGGTGCCTCTATGCTGGGTGACCAGCCTGGGTGTCGGGCCACCACAAGCAACTCCCGGAGGCTGCCGTGCTACACACGGGCCCAGCGGAGGGCTCGCGTGCGGCTGATGTGTGTCC